TGATTGGGGGAGGGGCAGACAGAGAGGGAGACAGAATCTGAAACAGGCTCTGAGCCGTCAGTACAGAGCCCGATGCGGGGCTTGAATCCACAAACCGTGAGATCATGACCTGAGCTGAAGCCAGATGCTTAACCAACTGAGCCACCTAGGCGCCCCTAAGATTCTGCATTTCTAACAAGCCGAATGCCTTGTGACTCCAGGTATGGTCCTGGACCAGCTGTGGCAGCACCAGGGAGCTATTTTACAACCTTGTAGGTGATTCCAGAGTGCAGCCATGGTTGAGAACCACTACACCAAAATGACCAGAGTTAAGTCACTATGATTGTTGACCATCCCCAGCTGCAAGCCCTTTGAAAGCCTTCTAAAGGTTTATAAATCTGTGATTGTCAGAATCACCTGGAGAGATTTAGGAAAAGCTTTTCCCTCCTTCCTAAATTTTGGAACCAGTAAGTGGTTTAATGTGGGCTTGGGAATTTTGAGATCTCTAAATGCTTTTTAAAAGAAAAGCATCGGGCTTACATTCACTGACCTGGACCCAATCTTTGTGATGTGGTCCAGGAAAGGCCAGCCCTGGACTAAACAATGAAATAGACTACATCCTAAAGTGGTCTTTTGATATTCCTATCCTTTCTGTGACTTCTCTTCCGTATTTTACCCTATTTATATGATTCTCCTGCTTCTAATAAAGATTATGACATCAGTCGTTGCTGCCTAGGTATAAATGAGTATGGTATTTTTGCACTTTCACCAGAGAAACCTGGATTTAAGCCATCGCTCACAGTGAACTAAAGAGTTTTTTTAAAAAAATAGGATAACATCAGCAAACATATAAGGAACATCACTTGAGAACAGCAAACTCTTCTCTACCCACATACACTGTCCCCCCACACCCCTGCCTCTGACCTAGCCCTTTTCTACTTCAGATTGCTTGCATTTAAAACAAACTACTGAAGCTTTGTCTATTTTCATTTATTTATGAATACAAACTTTTAGGTCTAATAATGTCAAAATTAACGTTAATATTTTTAAGATTCTGTGAGGTACAAAGTACTACCTTTAAGAACGCATTTATTTTTGATATGGTTCATGTTAACTAATTTAATTATCCAAACTGTTGCTTTATTTAGTATATTAGTATAAAATGTATGCAATTATATAGATGAGGAAACCCCACTTCGTGTCATCTGTGCCTAATAGCAGGTGCTCTATGATGGAGTTAAAGCTTGATGGATATTTAGCAGTGTGCACAGTGCCATCTAGTGGTATTCAGTCATCACTGCAAAACCCAAACGTCCCTTTTCTAAAATGCTTTTGATAGCTCAAGAGTAAACAACATCTTTATACAACTGTCAGACTTTTAAAACAGACTTCTTAAGAGCTTCCTTATGGCTCTAAACTTAGCACATTTCTTAGTGCTCCAGTTTTATTAAGAAGAAGGCTCGTGGTAACTTTTAATAATAATTAATAGATATTAAATATTTTTATGCACTAAGCACGGAGTTAAATGCTTTGTATGGATTATCTAATTTGATCTCCCCAATAACCCTGCAGTGGAGCAACTCTTACTGTCCCCATTTTACAGATGTTTACACTGAAACTGAAGGACATTAAGTGACTTGCTCAAGGTCACATGGACTGTCAATAGGAGAAGCCAGTAGAAACCAACCTATGGTCCAGGAACCTGCACTATTCGGCACTCTGATCTGCATCTCCCAAAGTAGTTACCAGTGAAATAAAATTTCTGAGAAGTCTTTATGAAAGAGGGCCTTCCTCACTAGGCCTCTAATTATCAAACATGGTAAAACCGATTCTAACTCCACTAACTCAGAATTTATGACAGTTAAGCTGAATATTATCTGCCTTTGTGGCTGAGATGTAGTCTGGGCTGCTTTTGTATGGCCAGGTGATATGTGCTCAAAATTATATGTTAATTAGCTTATCAGATTTGGGATCACTGGGCTGAAACTTGGATTTGGATTCACAGATCTTATAAGTTGATAACAGCATAGCATGGATGTAGATCAGAAGGTGTTTAATTGTCTTAACATTAGTAGCTATCATTTGTTGAGCACCTATGTGCTAAGCACTATGGCCAGCACTTGTGTATATGTTTTCTCTTTTCTCCTTGCTATAAGTTTCTCTGGATGGTATTAGTCTCCTCATTTCTAGAAAGGAAATAGTGAAGTGTATAGAGAAGGAGTAACTTGCCCACAGTTTTATAATTATTAGTGGAGCCAGGGGTGAAACTTCAATCTTTGTGATTGCAAAATCTGTGTCTTTTGCCACTCTTGGAAAATAAGTATTATAGAGTGCATGATTACAGTTTTCTATGTACCGCCACCCCTAAGCAAAAATACCATCGTCTCTGCTGGGATTACAGTAACAGGCTCCAGCCGCTTCCCCTGTGCATGCCTGGCCATCTCCATTGCTTTCTTCCCTTAGTCTGAAATGACATTTTTAAGCTGCATTTCTGAGCATGTCACTCTATTTAAAACCTGTGTCTTCATACTTTTAGTGTAAAGTCCAAAAAGACTTGCCATTGCTACAATGCTCCTCCAGCCTTATCTTATTCCCCTGGGCTCTTCACGGCCATCTCATAATCCCATTTTGTATGTGGCACCCTGTCTACCATGGTAGGTCATCATTTCTGATTATCTGTGCGATTGGGAGTCATATCTATATCCCCAGCTGTTAGTTCCCTAAGGCAGGAATATCTTTGCATCCTGCTCCCAGACATATCCCCAGGGACTAGATCCAGGGGTCTATAGATCAAACATAAAGGGAATAATTACAGGAACCTGCAGGATTTAATTTAATTCCTCAAGAAATTAATTAATCAATTAAACAAGCAAAAACTCATAGATGCCATCTTCCTGGGAATGCCTTGGTTGCTGTCTTGAAAAATTGGATAAATAGCATTAAGAAATACAAATAATTTCCTTGAAGGATATACAAAGAAAGTCACAAATTTGGAATCACATAAATCTGAATTTATCCAAATCTAATAAATAGTTAAGTATTTCAGTTCTGTCCCAAATAAGAGATATGCTGGATAGTGGTTTTATTGGAGGTTTTTTATTTTTACATGATTCACATTATGCATTTGTACAAGTGCAACGTACTGTCTCTGTGTATCAGGCATTACCCCTTTTGACTTCATGATTTTTCCCATATAAGGAACACTGTCCTCACTTTGCAGATGAAGAAAGTGAAGCTCGAAGTCTTCAAGGCTAAGAGGGCATTCACGGCGTAGAAGGGCCATATTTAGATCTCGGTCTTTGAACTCCCAAGTCCAGAAGTTCAATAGATGTTAGTGTTTCTTTTAATATCGTGTCAGAGTGACTAAAGACGTAGGAGACTAAAACTTAGGAGTAAGTAGAAAAACATTATGTGGAGTGCACATTTTTCAAGAACTGAAACATAAGCATGTATTTCGTTGAGAAAGCAACAATATTAATTTTCAAGTGCAAAAGCGTAATGAAAAGCGAACCTTAAATTTGGTGAGGTTGTGGAGACACTGAAATTCTCATACATTGTTGATGTGGATGTGAAATACTACGACTTTATTGGAAAACACCTGGGAAGTTTCTCAAAAATTAAACATATACCGAACATACAACCTAGTCCACTTCATTCCCAGTATTTGCCAAGAGAAATGGAAACATATGTCTCTACCAATATTTGTACACAGTTGTTCATACCTACTTCATTCATAATAACCCAAAACTGAAACAACCCAAGTGTCTATCAACAGGTGAGTAGATAACCAAATTGTGATATATCCACAAATAGAATACTATTCAACAGTATTAAGGAGCAAACTATTGATACATACAACAATGCAGATGACTCTCAAAGTAATTATACCAAGTGGAAGAAGCCAGACAAAATAAAAGAATGTACTGCATGACTCCAGCTATATAGAATTTTGGAAAATCATTTTAGAAACTATACCTGTGGGATGAGGAGTGGGGTGGATTAAAAGGAGCAGAAGGAAACCTTTGGGAGGTGATGGAGATGTTCACTGTCCTGATTGTGGCAATGGTTTCTGGGATGTTATAAGAAGGCTTCACCATCAACAGGGAAGATATAGAAATGGAATTCTTGACTACACTCGTGAAAGTAACTGTGACTTAAGTTATAGGAGTTAGTCAGTAGGGTAGCCGAGAAGCTGTTCTTGACCAGATTAGATAAGTGATCTGTGACTTAGTTCTGCTGATCACTGTTCCTTTTTCCCTTGCCTGTCTTCCCACCTTCCTTAACTGTCTCTCTTTTGTTTGAAACCTTATATTATGAAAAATATATAAATAAATGAAAATATTTTAAATAAACCCAAGTTTGATATCTTTTCAAACACTAGAATTTAAGTGCTGGTTTTGTCTCTCTTTCCTTTAAGGGGTCGGTGTAAGGGGCGCCTGGGTGGCTCAGTCGGCTAAGCGTCCGACCTTGGCTCAGGTTATGGTTTCACGGTTCATGGGTTCAAGCCCCGTGTCGGGCTCTGTGCTGACAGTTCAGAGCCTGGAGCCCGCTTCAGATTCTGTACCTCCCTCTCTCTGTGCCCCTCCCCTGCTCGCATTCTGTCTCAAAAATAAACATTAAAAAAATTAAAGTAAATAAATAAATAAGGGGTCGGTGTGTACAGTGGGAAAATGCTTTAAAGCCAGAGAGACTTGTTAATTTTAATCACAAGTTCTATACACTTCAAAGTTGCTGAGAGACTAGATCTTAAAAGTTCTCACCATAAAAAAAGAAGATTAGAAATAACTATCTACTGTGGTTTTCAGGAAATAATTTTTTTGCTATTATACATTGTACATCAAGTCTTTGAGATCATGCACTGTCTATGTGCATTTACCTATGTCGACCCCATAAGAGTTGAACACATAATGAAGACTTTGAGGTGCCTTGACAAAACAGGACAGATGGTACATGTAAAATAATGAATTTACCTTTCCCTGCATTTGGGGCTGATGTGTTCACTCTGCTTTAATTGTATGTAGTGCACCTGGTGGACATTTGGAACGTCATAGAAGCATTGCGGGAAAATGCTCTGAACAACCTGGACCCTAACATAGAACTCAGTGTGGCCCGCTTGGAGGCTGTGCTTTCCACCATTTTCTACCAGCTCAACAAACGGATGCCAACCACTCACCAGATCCAGGTGGAGCAGTCCATCAGCCTCCTGCTTAACTTCCTGCTGGCGGCCTTTGATCCGTAAGCTCCCTCTGAATAACTATTCCTCTCTGCATGTTTGCTCTCTCCCTCCTCTTGTCCTTGGTCTTTATCCCAAATGATTTTCTAGAATGGCTGGCTGCCTCTTTTTTCTTGATCAGAAATGCACCTCAATAAAGTCTGTCTGTGTTTAGCATACATTTTAAATGCTATGGAAAAAAAAAAACCTAGAGAGTATAAAAGTGCCATAGGAAATTGAGGACAATTGTATTTTATATGCTGACCTTTGTTTAACTCATCGCATGCTTCCTAAAAGCTACAGATGCTTGAAAGTGTTGAGTGATGCACGCCAGTGGAGCAGTTTAATGAAGCATGAAGTGTAAGGATGTTTTTAACTCTCTTCTTTGCAGATTGGTCTGAGACAGTATTTCAGAGGTGTCATAACAAGACCCGAGAGCAAACAGAGAGAGGCTGAAGAGGGTTTCTTGACCAGCCTAGGGAAAGTAGCCATGACTTGCGTTAAATGGATCAGTCAGTAATGTGCCTCATAAAATCGTGTAATGCCGTCTGCACATGACAATTGAATCTCAGCCTCATTATCTTATAATTTTGTCTCATAGAACCAGAGAATTTCAGAGCCAGCTGAAATATTAAAGACTGTTCTTCCAAATCTCTCATTTTATAGATGAAGGACCTAAAGCACAAAGAGACTGTCGCTTGGCCAGTGTCTCTCAGCATGTTAGTGGCAGAGTAGAGATTTAGGTGTTCAGCTAAGATTTCTTTTCCAAGGCCTATGTGGCAGGCTTGTAAAGTGCAAAAACTCCCCTGAATTACTTTATCAGCCTGAGATTTCAAAAGGTCTTTTGCTGATAGCCTTTAGTCTAGATATGGTATCAACGTCCCCACTTTCACCACTGGTTTTGAATATTAAAATGGAAAATTGCTAACTTGACCTTTCAGCAATCACATTTTAAGACTCTCAAAAGATTTTGCTTAGTCTCATTGTCTGGCCAATGCTTGGGAATACCTAAACCTGCCATTGGAGAAGTTCCAGCCAGGCTAATGTTATTATGCTGCTCACGAAACCTGCCAGCTGTCACTTTACAACCTAGAGTGGTAACAGAATTCTCCGTGCTTGGTTTGACCTGTGTAGAGTATTGTCTCATGATGTTTATATTTTGAGCAATTCTTGACTTGAAATAAACAGTTCTAAAACAAGCAGTCCAGCTTGATAGATCCCATGCTTAGCCTGTGTGGACTTCAGAACTGATGTACTGCTTTGGCCTAATCACTATGGTAACCGAGTGGCAGGCAGGTAGAGAAGGCTATGGTTCCACATGACAGGTGACAGAATGGAACCAGGCTATGGAATTTCTATAATGGCATTTCCATCCTGCCCCCTTGACAAGAGCACAGAAGCTTTCAGACCTGCCACTAGTCTTCAGAGGGCTTATTTGTTATAAGTGGAACAACGGAAAATGTACAAAGAGAAATAGAATTCTTGCCAGATCTTAGAGTATTGCTGGAGGATTCATAAGGAATCAAAGATAAAAAAATAATTTGGACCCACTCCCTAAAGATAGAAACTGGGCCAGATTAGTAATAAGGAAGGGGGATTTTGTGAAATATGTGAGGGTTATAATATATACATGTTATATTTTATATGACATAGTGTATCATATCTCAATATTTCTCATAGCATGAGAAATATACAATAGAGTTAGATTTTTCACTTCTGTTTAGAAAGATCACTTTTAAAAATAGGGCTGCAGATGTTCTCTAAATAGCTACTGATAATCATTCCAAGGTTGATGAATGCTAAACTTAAGGACTATCCCAAGGTTGGGAGCCATCGACATGAATGTTCGCATGCAATATCTGGTTCTTACTCTTCTTACAGATAAAAATGGCCCTGGCATATACTTTCACTAATCTCATTATAGTAGATTTTTTAGAAATATCCCCATAGAGACCCCAGTCTATAGATGCTTCTTCCTTCTCTCTCTCTTTTGGCATTGCAAATGAGTATAGGCAGTTCTGCTGATTCTCAAACTTCCATCTGACGGCTTCTGAAAGTCTAGATGATGTGGGATGTGAGCCATAAGGAAGTATCGGTAGCTGGAAAGGGAAAATAACCGGAAATATTCACTTAAAAGTGAATGTAAGAAGAGAAACTTAAGAATAAAATGAATGTTCAATTTCTTATAATAGTAAACTCCTATTTCTCCAAATATGATCCAGTATGGAAATCTGATGTTTCTTCCTACCACCTAACCCACGACAGAACCCAGCGTATAAGGAAGCCTTCTGCATTTTGGTAGGCGTGAATGAGCCTAGTACATCAAAAATATGCTGTTGCTCTTATAGAATCACTGAAACATTTGGGAGATTTTCTCTCATTTGCTGTAATTTGAATGAACATATGAAAAAAAAACAAAAAAAAATCTAAAATAAAAATGTAAACTTGTATTCTAAAGAGATTATATATATATATGGAAGGACAGTATAGCAATTTAAATTCATGGAGGAGAATAAGAATTTGCATTCAGGCATTATTTTGGCAATGCCTTAAAATTCACCAGACCCAGCTGGCAGAGTCTGCCAGGAAAATGGTAACCTAAAATGACGTTCAATGCCCACTGAATTTGGCTATATCCTTGAGAACCAGACTTGCCTTCTCACAACCATGCCTCCCCAGAAATATCACTCTTTCCCTTCTCTCCCCAGAGAAACACCTGCATCTCCGTCCTCACACAGGTGTGCTCACTGCAGGCCACAGCTAGTTTCTTGGTTGCAAGGTTTCTCCACCAAGTCAGCCTCTTAGAAGATAAAGCTACAGATGTAGGATGACTTCTAGAATGGTAGGAGCTAGGATTCGATATGCAGGGACTATGCTCATGTTTGCCATTCTATCTCTGAATAGCCAGCCCCTTGAGTCTAGAAGATGTTTGTTCTTTTTGACTTTCCTTCTAAAAATGGCTGTATCTCACATGTTTGCACGTATAGGAGGATTAGGAGGAACTTAACTGAGGACCATGGGGGAGAAGAAGGGGGGAAATGGTGGGGGAAAGGGAGAGAGGCAAACCATGAGAGACTCTTGAATGCTGAGAAACAAACTGAGGACTGATGGATGTGGGGGGGTGGGGGGAGATGGGCATGGAGGAGGGCACTTGTGGGGATGAGCACTGGGTGTTATATGGAAACCAATTTGACAATAAACTATTTGTTAAAAATAAATAAATAAATAAAATTAAATTTTAAAAAGAGGAATAAAAACCACTGACAATGGCAATTAATTAATTAATTAATTAAATTTTAAAAAGAGGAATAAAAACCACTGACAATGGCAATAAATTAATTAATTAATTAATTAAATTTTAAAAAGGAATAAAAACCACTGACAATGGCAATAAATAAATAAATAAATAAATAAATAAATAGAAATGGCTGTATCCTAGCAAGAGTCAACCAGTGGTCAATTACCAACCAACTTCTAAGCAGACTGTTCCATCCCAGACGCTGTCTTCTCCAGAGTCCCTAGGAGAATGGTGGGTGCACCTGGGAAGGTTGGGAAAGGTGTCAGAATTGGGATCAGGGGCGGAGAGTGAAGAATTAGAAAACAGTCAGAACCAGTCTCTGTATCTCATCTCTTTCTGCACACCCCGGGAATTAGCCTGCCCCCTCTCCTTATTTGCTAACAACCTGGAGGCAGCTTTTCTTCCCACCGTTACTATTGCTTTTTGGGAAACTGAGAGTAACAAAAGAAAAACAACATGGCAGAGAGTTATAAGATGACAATATTTTTTTTCAACAGCTTCATTGAGGTATCATTGTGACCTTGAAAATAATTCTTAAAAGTCTATATTGGCCTTTCAAAGAGGCGGGGTCACAAAGCGATGCACTGTGAAGCCCTTCACCTCTCACGGCTGAGTTGACCCCTCTTCCCCAGGTCCTGATGTTCCTCACAGATGATTCTGTTATTCTCTTATGTGCATGTCTTCCTATGTATAGGGCTGCCTCCCACAAGCTACTGTACAGCAGGCCCATGTCTTGCTCTTTGTATGCACAGCACCTGAGACAATACCCCGCTCCTAATGAATCTGTGAATGAATGAACGAATGAATGAAGATCAAAGATTGACTTTTCTTAGCTCATCACACTAATTTCTTTTCATTCCTTTTCTGAAATTAAGTCCTCCTTCCTCTCTAATATATTACCAAGACTAGTGAGCCCAAGTCTGCTCTGTCACCCAGATTCATACCCTCTATTTTTACTTCTGGTCCACAAGAAAACAGATGGCTATGCTTACTAATGTGGGAGTATCCTATTTTCACAAAAGACTTCACTGTAGTTCCCTTACTCCCTTCTTCCTTTCCCGGGAAACACAAACAACAACTTTAGTCTCTTGACTTCATCTCACTTCAATTCACTAGAATCTTCCCTCTTAGGGAAGTTCTTCCTAAACTAGATTAGGTGGCAGTGGCATTGCTTTCAGCAAGTATTATTTTCACATATATTCAGCCATACAAATCTCAGAGTAGGGCAGTGATAAATATTAAAAAGAATGGTGATGTTCCGCTTTTCAGGTGTCAAGCTATATTCTTAATGCCAGTTCTCCAATGATGGAAATAATATACGAATGTAATTAGTAATTACATATACTAATAGTAATCATATACTAATGTAATTAATAATCATACTACTAATTGTAGGAATAGCTAATACCATTTACTGTTTGCCAGCAGTCTTACTGGCTGGGCACTGCGGGATTATTATTTTCCAGGTTGAGTAAGCAATGAAGCTGGGACACAGGTTACATAATGTGCAGATCATACAGCTTCATACTAGATGAGGTCAGTGGGGGAAAAGAATCATTTATTTCAGGCATCAGTGCAAGTTCAGCTGTATTCATGCTTTCTGTTTCATTTTTTTTTAATGAGAATTAAGTACTCTCCCCAATCCCCAAACTTAACAGGATATTTTACAGGATATTTTTTTGATGCTCACATTCCTACCCTTTCCAGTTTGTGGTATTCAGACAT